GTGGGGATGCCGGCCTGGGACCCTCCTGCCGCGGCCAGGGCCAGCTGGCGGGAAGGCACTTCCAGGGTCAAGGGAATCCAACAGGATGCTATTTCCAAAATCCCGGCCCGTTTCAAACGCCAACGTGTGCACACTCGGCTCCAGGACAGCCCCCGCGTCCCCCGAGACACTGGAGTGAGAGCTACTGAGTGTCTGTCCCCCAGGCCTGGGCCCCTGAAACATGGGCACCCCTACCCAACTCCCCGTTGTCACACTTCTAGCGGCAGGAAGACCCAGACTCCCTGTGTTTCCTGGACTCACTCGAAATCCGTCTCCTTCTTCAGCTCTGCCACGGGCTGGAAAACGATGTTTCTTTTGCTTATTCCCAGCACGCAGATGGAATCGTCGGTGACAAATTTCTTTCCTATGAAAAGTCAGAAGAAACCTTAAAACAAGGTGCCCTACCGACAGCCGTGAATTGGGAGCAAGAGAAATCGGCCAGGTGTGGTGGCTCACGCCTGTGATCCCAGCACTTTAGAAGGCCGAGGCGGGAGGATCGCTTGTGCCCGGGGGTTCAAGACCAGCCTCGGCAACACAATGAGACCCCGTTTCTACAAAAAAATAGCATGAGCCAGGTGTGGTGGCACTCGCCTGTAAATTCTAGTTACTCAGGAGGCTGAGGTGGGAGGATCCGCCTTAGCCCAGGAGATAGACGCTACAGTGAGCTGCGATCGTGCCACTGCCCTCCGTCCTGGGTGACAGTGAGACCTAGACTCAAAAATAAAAAGCTTAGGAATGAATCATCCTGGCCCAGCGTGGTGGCTCACTCCTATAATCGCAGCACTTTGGGAGGCCGAGGTGAGAGGACTGCCTTAGCCCATGGGTTTGAGAACAACCTCATCTCTACAGTAAATCAAAAACTTAGCTGGGTGTGGTGACACGTGCCTGTAGTTCCAGCTACTTGGAAGGCTGAGGCGGAAGGATCGCCTGAGCCCAGCGGGGTGATGCTGCGGTGGCTGTGAGCGTGCCACTGCACTCCAGCCTGGGCGACGGAGTGAGACTCGGACTCAAAAAAAGAGAAGAGAACAGATCATCCAGAATGGACAGATCACAGCACATGGAGGAGGGACAGAAGGGGAGAGGAGAGAACTGGCCACCTCCAGGGACAGGTGCTGGGCGAGAGGAGTTCAAGGGTCCTCAGGAGCCCGCCAAGGACCCCAGCTCAGCAGCACGCCTGGGAACTCTCGCTGCGCACTGTGGTGGCGTCCTCCTGGCAGGAATTTCGTGTTCTCCTCCCCACAGCGGAGGGGACATTCCACTAAACACTGCAACAGGCAAGTGTGCTTGGGCTGCAGAAAGGCCTCAGTGGGACACTGAGAGGAAAAGCATCCGAGAGGTGGGGTGATGGGAAGCGGCCGCGGACCTGTCGGTCGAAGAAGGCAACACGCCCGAGAAGCAGAAGCCAAAAGGCAGAAACCGACGGCAGAGGGCAGACGGTTAACAGGAGGACTTAGCCCGCATCAGTTCCGGGAGACACCACTGTCACGTGGGGACCGTTGACACCGCCATCCTGGGGCCTGCGGTATTTGTGAGTCAGAGGCTGGACACCGCACGGTGAGCCTGATGAACACACATCCGGTCCCGATTCAGAAAACACAGGGGCAAGGCAAAGACACGGGCCCAAACAGCCACCTCAGGAACGAACGGGCTGAGACAGGGTGCCGGCGTTAAGCGGAATAAAATACTGTGGAAGATGTGTCAACTGTTTTGAAAAGCTCAGTGAGTTGGAAATTTCCCAGGAAATGTAACGTACACAGCCGACTCAAGGAAAAACAGGGATACGTCTATGAACGTGAAAGAAACTCAGCAGTCAGCCCTTCCTCAGAGAGAGCCCTGGAGGCTTTGGTGGACGGCTCACAGCGGGCCTAGGCAAGCACAAAGCCACACAACTCCCCACCGACACAAGCCGCTCCCCAGAGGAGCCCCCAAACCCTCGGCCCCTCCCCTGAGCAGGACAGAGCTGCAGGGGCCTGCAGCGTTCACGGCCGCTGGAGCCAAAGCCTGACGGTCCAGCAGTGAGTCCGGGAAGCACGTGGGACCCGGCGGTCTTGGCCCTCAGAGTCAAGGCTGGGCTCCAGGTCGGAGAGTCAGTTGCGGAAAAACCACACGACCGTCTCACTGGATGCACAAAGTTTGCGAAAGACGGTGTCCTCTCATGGTCGAAAAGACACTCACCAAGTGATGGGCATCTATCAAAGCCCAGTGGATGTATGATTGCAGAAAGGAGAGCATCAGTTAGGCTGGGTGAGGGTTCCCAGTCGTGAAGCACCCAGAGCCGCCCTGGCCTGTCAGGGCGGGCGGGTGGCATCTGCCCAGGGCCTCCTGCAGGGGGCAGTGCCAGCACGCACACACGGCCCCACTGTCTCATGGAGATGCCACGCATACATGGTAGGACACGCAAACGGTGTGCACGTAAAAGCCAGGATGGATCCTCAGATGATTCCCAGCATTCAAGTTGCTAGTTGCGAAAAAGGAAACCAACCATATCCATGTCCTTCCATTTCTCTACAAATAAGTGTGGGCTGGGTGTGGCAGCCCATGTCTGACAGCCCAGCACTCTGGGAGGTCCGAGGCAGGAGGATCACTTGAGGCCAGGAGTTTGAGACCAGCCCGGGCAACACAGTGAAACCCATCTGTATAAAACAGTTTTAAAAATTAGCCACAGGATGGCGCGCACCTACAGTCTCAGCTACTCGGAAGGCTGGGATGGGTAGTTTAAGCCCAGCAGTTGGAGGCCGCAGTGAGCTACGATGGTGCCACTCCACTCCAGCCTGGGCAACAGGGTGAGACCCCGTCTCTAAAAATAAATAAGTAGTGAATAAATGAACAACAAATTTAAATGAATAAACTTGAATATATTTAAATACAATTTCATATATGTGTATGGGGTGTGTGGGTGTGTGTGTGTGTGTAGAAATAAACCTACCAAAAGATACGCAGTATCTTTATGAAAAAAGTGCTTTGAGTCAGGCATGGTGGCTCACATCTGTAATCCCAGCACTTTAGGAGGCGGAGACGAGAGGATTGCCTGAGTTCAGAGATTCGAGACCAGCCTGGGCAACATGGCGAGACTGCATCTCTACAACAAATCAAAATATCAGCCAGTGGTGGCGGTGCACAACTGTGGTTCCAGCTACTTGGAAGGCTGAAGCGGAAGGATTGCTTGAGTTCAGCGGGTCGAGGCCGCGGTGACATGCCACCGCACTCCAACCTGGGCAACAGAGTGAGACTCTGACTCAAAAAAAAAGTGCTTTGACAAAAAAGGTAACAAAATATCTAACTATATGGAGAGATGGAGAGAGATACAGTGTTCACGAATTAGAAAGCTCCATACTATAGAAATGTCAATTCTCCCAAATGCTTCTCCCACCTAGGAGGAGGCCTGGGCAGGACTGGCCCTACCAGACATCAGTAACTACCGATGAAACTGGAATGCTGGCAGCGGCCAAGTGACCCAGCAGCGCCCTCCAGACCTGTCGTCCTCCGTCACACCGTGCTCCCTCCCCAGAGGCAGCCCCGGGACTCTGAGACCCTTGCTCTCCTCAGGTGGCAGGCGCAGCTCCTGGGATCTGCGGGTGCCTCAGCGAGGGTGTCATCTGTCCTGCGGAAGGAGAAGGATGACTTCCTCCACAGACGGCCCTCAAGAAGGCGAGTGTCCACGAGAAGAAAACACAGGCCGACCTTAAGCTTCCGCCCACACGCACTAAAGAACCAAACGGAAGAGGAAATGCCCGATAAGCCGACAGTCAGAAGACAACTCAGGAAAGGAGGCGTGGTGTGTCACAAGAGGAGAGGGGGGACCCGTGACGCGTGGCAGACGAGACACAAACGTGAAATGGAACTTTTTTTTCTGAGTCAGAGTCTCACTCCATCGCCCAGGCGGGAGTGCAGGGACACGTTCACGGCCACCCCAGTGTCGACCTGCTGGCATCAGGCGATCCTTCTGCCTCAGCCTTCCAAGTAGCTGGAACTATAGGGGCGTGCTACCAGGTCTAGCTAATTTTTTTTTTTTGAGTTTCTTATTGTAGAGACGAGGTCTCGCCAAGTTGCCCGGGCTGTTCTTGAACCGAGGGCTCGGGCAATCCGCTCACCTCAGCCTCCCAAAGTGCTGGGATGACAGGCTTGAGCCACCGCGCCTGGCCATGAAGGGTTACCTTAAACGGTGCTTCAGCATCCATAAAATAACCAGCCATAGGAAAATGGGCAACATACCTGGCTGTTCAGAGACCCAAGAGCAATTCACCCACGCTTGAGACCCTGCTGCCTCCCTTGTCATCAACAGACCAGCTCACCGCCCAGCCAGGAGCAGCTGAGAAGCCTAAAGGTGGCAAATGTTGCCTGCCAGCCCAAAGGGAGACTCGGGAACCCACACACCTGACTACGGGTCCCAGGAGCCCTGCGTGTGCCCGGAGGCGTGTCAGCGAACACGGGACGCTCAGGCCGGGGCCAGCAGGACGGGCAGGCTGGCCGCCAGCAGGACATCAGGTAACAGCCGTCAACCAGGGCACCCTGAGACCTAGGGCAGGATGGGGGTCCCAGGGAAGCGCTGCAGGCCTCCACCACACAAAGCAGACGACCTGGACGTCTTAGAGGAGAGCCAGGGAGCAGCTTCGGGAAACCTAGAGGCTACTCTGGCTGGGACTGAACGAGGAAGAGTCTAGATTCCCCCAACCGCTGGCTGTTTTTGTCTAAAAGACAAGCAGCACTCAAGCCTCCTACGTGAAATGCAGCTCCCGGGTCCGTGCAGCCAGACAGTCAAGAAGAGTCTCGCTCCGCGGCCCTGCTGTCACAGCCCCAGGCAGGCACAGCGGCTGTCTGGCCAGTAACGCGCCCCGGGCGTGCCTTCTCACGAGCATTCAGTACTTAATTGTAACTTCTAGGGTCATGGGGAGGAACACGCAGGGACCAGCAAGAGGCCACGCAGTCACACGCCTCTCAGGTCTGCGTGTCAGAGGCTGAGCGCGGCCTGAGGACAGGACGGCGTCCCCGCCCGGCCCCCGCCCCACTCCGCACCTAAGCCCTGGGACTCCTGGAGCTTCGAGGTGATCCACTCCATGGCTCGGGCGGAGATTTTGGTTCCGAAGTTTCGGTCAAACGGAGAAGGCGCTCCACCCTGTTGGCGGCAAAGTTACACGAAACAGCGGTTACACAACAACGCTCTGCTGCTTGTCTTTAAAAAACAAACACGTGAAGATTGTCTGACGAAACTCGCATGACGAAACTCGCATGTTTTTAAGAGGCCCAGATTTGCAAATACAGTTGTATTTGGTCTCGTTTTTTGTAGATTTCTGCCTCTCTGTATGCAGCTGGGACGGGACAAAGCGGAAGTCTGTGATTCCTGCAGCCCGAAGTCAGCCTGGGAAGCAAGCGTCGGTGCTGCTCCCACCGAGACGAGGGTATGAAGGAACTGGACAAGCCCACGGCAATCCCCCATTACTTCACAGCCTCACGTCGGAGCTCCTAAATACTTACTTTGGGGTGGGGACGCGTCTCCGTTCCCTTGGAGAACCTTTCAGCCTCTGGGGCCTCCTTCGCAGACACACGCGCACATGCCTACCACGCACCGTAGGAGCCCTCTGAGCGAGCCAGTGACTCCAGTGAAAAGCCCCTGGAGTGCCAGGAACCGCGGTGGTGGCGGAAGGCAGACGGCCCTCACGAGGGGCGGGACCTGCCACCCACGCCCAGCTCCGCGCCACAGTCAGGCACAGCGGAGAGCAACCCCGTTCAGTCCAGGGCACTCTGACGTGGGGTGGGTGTCCAAGACACGGTGTGGGTGTGAGCTCCATGTTAAGCCTTACGGATCCTCAGGACGTAATTTAACCAAGTACTGAGTTTGAATAAGACTTCCAGTCACCTGGTGTCACTATTTACACGGAAGTTACAGTTTTCCTCGTACACGCAGATGTCACAAATAAGAAGAGGACCCCAAGGCTGGTGATATTAGCCTGACTTAAAGTTGGATGTGGTTTGGCCACTTTGGAGTTTCCTTATAAATACTCGTTTTCCTCATCACCGTGAACAGGCCTCGGGCACAGGGGCGCTGTGTGCGCTCTATCCTGCGGCCTGGCCCAGCCCAGCCCGGCCCCCGGGCACCCACCTGCTGCATGTGGCCCAGCACGTTCTTCCTGCAGTCGAACACGCCCTTGCCCTCCTCGGAGTAGAGCTGGTAGATAAAGTCGGTGGTGTAGTTCTCGCTGCAGCTCTCGTTCCTGAAACCAACAACAGCGGCTGCGGTCATTAGTGAGCGTGGCTCCCGCGGCTGTCCTGGCCCTGCGGGGTGGCCTCCCGAGTCCTCTGACCCGTCGGAGGTTGCAGTTACCCACAGCAACTGGTCAACCGAGTCCAAAAATATCAAGCGGGAAGTTCCAGACACAAACAATGCACGTTTTAAATTGCGCGTCGCTCTGAGCATCGTGACGAAATCGCGCACTCTCTCGCTCTGTCCCACCCGGGACCCGTGTCCTCCCCTGTTTAGCGTCTTGACGCCGTCTACACCTCCTGCCGCGAGTCACCTAGTAGCCCTCTCATCATCAGACCGAAAAGACCCAGTGTGCAGGGTGCCGGCGCCCTCAGGAGTTCAGGCATCCCCTGGGGTCTAGGAAAGACTCTGGTTTCTTCTTTCTTCGTGAAGTTCAGGGGCTTTTAATAAAGGCAATGACAGGGAGGTTTTTTCTTTTTTAAATAGGAGACCACAAAGCAGAAATAAACGTTAAAAATCACCCCTTGTGTGTGAGCATGGGCAAGCTTTTAACGGTCACTTCCAGCACCTCGCTGGTCATCACAGCGACAGCCAGCGGAGAAATACGCTCCCCGGGGTCTAGGGCCCGGGGAGCTCTAAGAGCCGGGGGAGGGGCTGAAACGAGACCCGAAGCCGCCCCCTCACCTGAGCACGAGGCCCCTCTGGATGGTGGTCTTCATCTTCTCCGTCAGGTGCTCCACGTTGGACTAGGAAAGAGGTTTTGTTCGTCATCAGACAGTGCACTCATTGAGCACCTACTGCATACAAGTGTCAAGGCTGGAATAAAAGCAGCAGCAGATGAGAGCAGGCAGCTGCCTGGGCAGTTAGGCTCTATGGAGACACCCAGGCTCCTCGCAAGAACGCTCCAGGGGTCGCCCCGTGGGGGTGCCAGCAGAGCTCAGTGCTGCCCTGCGACAGGGGTGGGACCTTGTCACGGCCCACGGGCCAGGTGACTCTGCTCCCTCCAGAAGTGCTTCCACGGCAAGGAAGCTTCCTCTTTTCTGTGACGGAGTTTCACTCCGTCGCCCAGGCTGGAGTGCCGCGGCACGCTCATGGCCACCCCAGTGTCGACCTGCTGGGCTTCCGTGAGCCTTCTGCGTCAGCCTTCCAAGTAGCTAGAACTATAGGCAAGTGCTGCCACACCCCGCTAATTTTTTTTTAATTTATTTATTGTTGAGACGAGGTCTTGCCAAGTTGCCCAGGCTGGTCTCCAACCCATGGGCTCAGGCCACCCACTCGCCTCGGCCTCCCAAAGTGCTGGGCTAACAGGCTGAGCCACCGAGCCCAGCCAAGGAGGCTTCCTCTCTAAGCGTTCGTTTGATTCTGTGCCTCGGCCTGGTGGAGACACAGCTGGCATCCCTGTGACAGTGTCTTCTCGGAGCCCTCAGGAGACAACAGCTGCCTGCTGCCTGGCCACACGGGGGCTTGTGGAACTGTCACGTGAGCCTTTCCCGACCAAGAAGACCCCGCTCAGACTCGTGTAACACACAGACCTCATGAGGCCAAGCGGTTGCATTGAAAGGGGAAACGTGCAGTGGCACCCATCTCCACTCACAGGGGGAGGACGCCGAGGGGAGGCGACTTCCTAGGGACGCGCCTAAGAATGGCGTATGCCGTGCGGTCAAGTCTAAGCCGCCACCAAGGGCCGGGGGCCATGGTAAGGGCTGGGGAGGCCTTGCCCGTGGGTAGATTTGCGAAGGGCAGCCGTGCGTCGCTTCACGACAGGGACGCATTCTGAGAGATGTGTCAGGCGACTTCCCAGCCACGTGCACACCACAGAGCCCGCAGAGCCCTGTGGTCCAGCCCGCCACGCTCCCAGCCTGTGCTGCCACCAAGGACTCCTGCGCTACAAGGCTGCAGGGCAAGGGACGGCACTGGGCTCTGCAGGCAGCTGGGACATGGTGGGAAGGGTCTGTGCCTCGAACGCAGAAGACGGCCAGCGAAAAGATGGCAGGGAAGACGGCAGCCCCGTTCCAGCCTCCGGGACCCCGCGGCATAGTCAGGCAGTCACTGACCGAAGCTTCGCCGGAATGTTCGATTCCACGTGGTGTAACTGACGGATCAGGTGTCCGTGTCCCAGGTAGCTAGTGCCGACACCAGCCCGCTCGCCTTGGTTCACTCGGCTCAGAGCACACCACACCCCAGCTCGAAAAGGGTCGCTCACGTTGCGGCTTGTCTGCCGAGCCCTGTCCCCTTCCAGGGAGGTTGGCCTGACCTAGCCGTGCCCTCTAGGCAGGGCCCAGCCCGGTCCCCCAAACACCCACAACCCCCTGCATGTACCAGGGCTTCCCAGCCCCCGGGACACGGCTGCCCCTTCCTTCCGTCCAACCGCCCAGGGGCCCTTTTCAGGGCTCTGGCCGCTCATGGGCGGGCGAGGGGACGGAGACGGGGCGCCCAGCTGAACCAGCGCCAAGCCACCCACAAGACCTACAGGATGCCGGGAATCCGCCAGCCTCCTCCTTGGCCAGAGGCAGACCTGGCCTGGGAGGCCCCTCAGGATTTCCAGAAGCTTCAGCCCACCCGGAGCGGGTCCGGCAGCGGCCTCAGGGCAGCACAGGGCCTGCCCACCAGGGCTGTGATCCTGCGGGGCCGGGACTCCGGGAGGCACAGGCCGTCTCTATAAACCTGCCACAGTGCTGTGACCCTGAAACTGTGCTCAGACAAGGTCTGTAATCCCTAAAAGTCATGTGCTTTTAAAAAAGCAGCAGAAACAGCAGTGGGCCAGGCTCCGGTGGCGTCTAACTGGCCCAAGTGAGCCCAACCCGACGGCCACCGTGGAGGGGCACACGTCCCTGCCTGGCGCCTCCGGCTTCCTCCCGAGTGCCGCCAAGCCCCTCCTTCCACCCGCCCTTTCCCACCCACAGCGCTGCCCCCCGGGGGCTTGGGGAGGGCGCTCCCTCCCGCTGCTGCAGATGCCCAACCCCTAGGGGTCCGGGCTGTCACGAATACCACAAGGCCCGAGAGTCCCTTAAACAAGCAGGTGGCTTGTGACTGCCGTGAAAAACCGTGAACTGCTTCACGGACTCTGCTGTTGATGGTCAAGTCGCACCAGCTGTGTTTCCACACACAGGCGGGGGGGGGGCTCTCGGCCAGGCCTCTGCTGCACCCAGGCAAGCACATGCACCAGGCTCGGAGAGGCAGACGGCGTGACGGGCCTGGCTGTGGCAGGTCCCACCCTCTCCGCGCCCCCGGCAAGGCGGCAGCCACTCACCGGACGGCACCCGGCAGGCCCGAGGGCACGGCCCCAGCCCGGCCGCCACGTACCTGCAGATCCCGGATGTCGAAGGGCTCCTCGAAGATGTAGGCGGCGTCGGCGCCGGCTGCCAGCCCGCCCATGTTGGCCAGGTAGCCGCAGAAGCCCCCCATGGTCTCGATGATGAACACGCGTCGCTTGGTCCCGCTGGCCGACTGCTTGATGCGGTCACACGTCTGGCCACAGAGAGGAGACCTGTCACTCCAGCCCAGGGCCAGGCGCCCCTGCTCAGAGCCCGCCACCCCCACAAGCTGCACTCGGCCCCCACCCGCCCAAGCACAGACATGGGCACTGCTGACACGGGGACTCGGGCTTCAGGGGCGGGTCGGCATCCAGCCTCGTCGGGGGCACTGCTGTGCTACTGTGGGTGCTTCCGGACAGCTCCCCGGGACTTAGGGCTTTGGTCACTTTCAGTCCACGAATGTCACACCATGTCCACGTCACCTCCACTAAAGGCACGGGGCTTTGTAGATGGGCATGCAGAGGGCGTCTGGACACACAGGAGGTGGGCGGGAACGTCGGCCTCCACCCTCCACGACGACCCAGCTCAGAGCTCCCTCTCGGGACTCGCGGAAGCCTCACCCTGGCCCCAGACGCCCCTGGGGAGCCTCCAATCCCCCCACAGAACCGTCCATAAAAACACAAATCTGACCGAGGCCCGCCATGCTCAAAACCCTCACTGGCTTCACATACGATCGCGGCAGCGGCTGTTCCCAGCACAGGACATGCCCCCCAGGGCCTTAGCACGTGCTGGTCCTTGTGGCCGGCTGGTGGGCTGAGCCAGACTCCAAAGGTGTCCGGGCCCTAATCCCAGGGCCGGTCAATGTCCCCATAGTTGGTGATGGAAGTGAGGACCCTGAGGCACGAGATGGCCCTGCGTCCCCCAGGGAGGCCCCAGATGCCGTCGCCTGTGTCCTCAGCAGAGGAACACGGAAAAGAAGGCCAGCGGCCCTGCACGCCCAACTGCGGGATGGGAAGGGGGGAGGGGAGAAGAGGGGAAGGGAGGGAGGAGGGCGAGGAGGAGGCCTGTGAGGAGACGGGAGAGGGCGGAGGGGCCCCCGGGGCCAGCACCTCGGCGCCCCACGGCCTCAGCCCTCCGGGGCCGTGGAGAAGGCACGTGGCTTGAAGGCCCAGGCACGGGGTCATCAGTTCAGCGGCCACAGGAAGCTCACAGCCACCCCCCTGCCTGGCTCTGACCGAGGCGTCACATCCTTGGGAAAACACGGACCTCCAGGACTGGACGGCTCCATCGGGGTCTCCAAACGCGCCTTTCCTATTCATCCCTGTGGCCCAGGCTGGAGGACCACAGGGCAACCACAGCTCACGGCAGCCTCACACTGCTGGGCGCAAGGGATCCTCCAGCCTCAGACTCGAGCAGCTGGGACTACATGCATCGCCACCACACCCAGCTGGTGGTTTTCTGTAGAGCCAGACCCCACTATGTTGCCCAGGCTAGTCTCAAACGCCTGGCCTCAAGTGCTTCACCTGCCTCAGCCTCCCAAAGTGCTGGGATGGCAGGCGTGCGCCACCACCGACATCCTTTCCTCGTAGCCATCATGCCAGCCTTTTCCTGCAAACACTCGTGAGGCTGTGTGCCTCACGAGTAGCCCCCTCCCTAGCCTGTGAGCTCGAGGGCAGGTGTCGTGGCTGGACTGGCACCATCAGCAGGTGCTCCAGAAACGCGCATTGCCAGAGGACATAAGCGCACTGTCGCCGGCTGTCCACCGGCCAGCCGGGGCCAATGGTGCCGGCTTCCCTAGTCCTCTCGGTCCAGAGCAACACGAGGGCTGGCGTGGGCCGGACCCCGGGCCGCGGGTCTCCCTGGGGAGACGAGGGAGGGCCCAAGTCCCCCAGCCGGGAAATTCCCACTGAGGACATCGGGGTTGAGGAAAGCAAGCAGTGGGACGGGCAAACGCAGGCTTGATGCAAGTGGCTCCAATCCACACCGCCAACCTCTCTGAGGTATTCTGGCCCCCTAAATACTTTGCTGGTTTATCAAAACGCCAACATGCACGCTCGCCGGTGGGCAGCTTTGCATCCTCTAGGAGCCAGGTGGGAAGAGGCAGCCGGCCGGCCCAGCTCCCACCACGTGCTCCAGTAGGGACAGGGAGCTGCCAAGCCTGGCTGCATCCCCAAGAGGCCCACCACGGGCGGGCATGGGACGCCAGGTTCTTCCCCCCTGCTGGCTGTCTCCGAGACATTCAAGCACTGAAAAGCTCGCCGGTCTCGTCCTGCAAGATGCTGGGGGCGGAAGGAAAGCGCAGGAGGGGTGCCAGGTCCCCAGGGGGTGCAAAGCCAGCGGGCTATGCTTCCCACTGAGTCTCCCCCAGAGGCCCTGAAGGGGAAGGGGGAACTACGGGCTCCCATTCAAAGAACAAATGTCACCATCACTTCATCGCAAGACACCACCGGTAAGGAGGCCCTGCTGTGAGGCCGGCGGGTCAAGCAGGCCTCTGAGTCCTGATCTGCCCTGGCAGAGACGGAAGAGGAGGAAGACCAGCCGCCAGTGCTGGCGCTCAAGGGCACATGCCCACAAGCTTCTCGTCACCCCGATCGCGCCCGCAGGCTCACGTCCTAAAAACAGCAAGCCCGGCCCGCCGTGCCTGGGCCAATCACCGCAAGCAGCCCTGACGAGGAGGCCGCCGCGCCTAACGCAGGCGGGGCCGCCCTGTCCGGAAGGACCAGCCACCGCGAGCCAGACCAGTCGGGCAGAGCCAGCGCCACAGCCGCCCTCACCCTGCAGAGGGGACGTGCCGGCACGCCACCGCCCGCCAAGGGCACGCGGGCAACGCTGCGAGAGTGGCCCCAGGAGAGCCTGGAGGAGAGCCCTGGCTTTGGTCCACATCACTAACACGCTTATAAGCAATGCAAAGTGTGGGGGGGGGGGAAGAGCAGGTGGGGTTCGGGACAGGGCCTTTTGTCTTCTGTTTAATTTTTGTGGAGAAGGGGTCTCACTGTGGTTCCCAGGCTGGCCTCCAACTCCTGGCCTTAAGCAAGCCTCCTGCCTCGGCCTCCCATGTAGCTGCGACTGCAAGCACATGACACGAAGCCCAGATAAATCTTTTAACTTTTTGTAGAGACTTGGTCTCACTATGTGGCCTAGGCTAGCCTCCAACTCCTGGCCTCAAGCTGTCCTCCTGCCTCAGCCTCCCGAACCGCTGGCCAGCTAGTGTTAAGGTAGAAAAAGGCCTCTGACGTTCATGGGAGGCTGGTGGTGCTCTGATCCTCTCGGGAAGGCTGGTGTCCCCGCGACTGGTGCCCCTTCCAAGGACTGACCATCTGCTGCGGGCGGTGACCAGATGGGGTGGGGGGGCAGGGGCACAGAAGGCCATCCCTGCCACGACAGGGACCAGCAGCACCGCACAGCCCGCTAGTAGAGCGGCTCCACATCATGTGTGGGTCGAGGGGACAGCACGCATCAGAGTCTCCGAGGCGACCAAGGAGAGAGAGGCTGGGAGTGCCTGGATCCTACCAGCGTTTGGCGACCGCGGGGCTATGTGTGGGCCAGAGGAAGCCTGTGACCCGGCACGGGCCAAGGCCAGCCCCCAAGAGGGGACGCATGCGTGACCTAAAGATTTTATCAACTAGGAGGACGGACACGTGACCTGAGGATACTGTCATCTAGGGGGGGACAGATGCTTGACCCGAGGAGTCTGTCATCTAGGGGGACAGACACATGGCCCGAGGACACCGTCATCTAGGGGGACGGACGCTTGACCCAAGGACTTTGTCATCTAGGGGGATGGACATGTGACCCGAGGACTCGGTCGTCTAGGAGGACGGATGTTTGACCCGAGGAATTTGTCATCCAGGGCGACTAAGGCACGACCCGAGCACACTGTCATCTAGGACGGATGCGTGACCTGAGAACACTGTCATTTAGGGTCTGGACAGACACGTGACCCGAGGACACCGTTGTCTAAGGGGACAGATGAGTGACCCGAGGACCCACCGTCACCTGGGGGGGCGGACGTGTGACCCAGGTCCACTGTCTTATTTCTGTGGATGCACACAGCTCTCCCTGGGACAGAGGAGTGGAGAAACACACCCCAGTGTCATGGGTGTGAAGTCAAGCAAGTGAAAGCAAGGGAAAACATCTGGGCCTGTGTGCACGGAAGCCAAGCAGCGGGAATCAGGGCCAGTGAGCGCGGCTGCTTCTCAGGCAGAAGCAGCAAGAGGAAAAGCCATTGCAGGAAGCAGGACGGCGTGCCCTCTTACCTCGACCACCGTGTTCAGGCCCGTGTCGCAGCCCAGGCTCAATTCTGTGCCTGGGACACTGTTGCTAATCGTGGCGGGCACCACACACACAGGGACACAGAGCTCCGGGTGGCGGCCCCTGGCCTCCGCGATCTGGATTGCGCCGAGGTAAGCCTGAAGCAGCAGGGTCAGCGGTTAGCGGGCGGCAGGGCGCCGGCGGGGCATGCGCGGGGCACTGGGCCGTGGCGGGGAGGGGGCCCGGGGGTCAGGGCCGGTGGTTCATGCGGGGAGCCAGAGGAGTTCTGGATTCGAGTCCAGACAGGAGCAGGACGAGCCCTGGCGCTCGGGACGGCGTCCGCGTGCAAGGAGGGGCCGGGCCGGGCAGTCGGGGCGGGGACACGGGGCAAGCAGGCAGAGGGGCAGGCAGGAAGGGGGCCAGCGGGCGAGTCTCAGAGTGTAGCGCAGCCTCGGCCTCACAGGGGCTGGGGAGACACTGAGGTCGGGAGACGTAGCGCCAGGCCCAGGCAGTCCCTCCTGCACGCAGGTGGAGGGGGACCACACAGGGCTGGCAGGGCCACATGGCCATGCGTCACCATGCAGGGGAGGGTCGCCGCAGACAGGCAGGGACGGGGGAGCGTGCAGCTGGGTTACCCGCAGGCAAACTCGCCCTGCGTGGGGCATCTCTGCACCTCCTCGAGGGGGACTGCACGCGGCCTTTCTCCAGCCGGGCGCCCTTCCACGGCCAAGCACGGTGGCTTGACCAGAGCCTGCTCATTGCCTTGGGATCCCGTGGGAAGCTGCCTGGCTCTGAGGGCAGGCGGGGGCTCGGTGTCAGCCGAGGGACCAGCAGGTGCAGCCACGCACCAGCAGCCCACGTACAGGCAGCCCTGCACACGGCAGCTGCGTGGTCATCCGCCCTGGGGCAAGCCCACCCACTCGTGGTTTCTGACTCGCCCCTCTGACTGTGAGGACCCTGCCCGCTGCTTCCGAAGCTTGAGTACTAGGGCGGCCCCACGGGGACCGGCGGGCTCCCAGCATTCCCTGTGGCTGTTGGGGCCGAGTCTCAAAGCCACAGAGGCTGCGTGGCGGACGGTGCTGCCCGGCAGGGTGAGGACCTGTGGCGGGTGAGTGCAGTGAGGGGCGGGTGGGCCCCGCCCGGCGACCAAAGGGAGAGGCGTCA